AATGGTTAGTAAATATTTGAGATAAATTACAAATATTTTGTTACGTAAAAGGACTTCCATTACGTTGACGTAAGTTTCTGGAATGCATTGCTGTGTTTTACAGCCAGATGAATTGCATGGAGTAATAAATGGTTTCTAGTCATCGCCACCTGAATCGCGAGTCAGCGAAACCTGTTCAGAAACATCGCATGTTACTTTTGAGATAAACTGATGCACACAAAATGTGGCAGAAGGTGAGTAAAGCTGTCCTGATACACGCCACGTAGGCGTTTGGGGGGGGAGAGGAGGTATAGCTCCTAGTCATTCTTAACCTTGGCACTAGATGGGGTGCGAGTGGTCAGTGTCACGCCCCGGCCGCGCTTTACCCCTGGTAAATGTGGTACATTTAGGAATTACGTTCATTCCCGTGCAGTGTTGAAAATGTGAGTAATGACGTTATATTGAATTTATACTGTGGAGCTAGCAACATACAATGTGGATTCACGTGAAGAGGCCTTGACAGTAATTTTTCAATCTTGTGGTTGCTGTGCGTACTCATGAAATGTGTAATGTTTTACTGCAACATTGCTCACATAGTAAAATGCACAGAGGTAAAAACTAAACACGTTCGAGTAGGTTATTATTTATTATAACCTGTATTATATGTTATATCTTTGAGATTTAAAATGCTTCCTCAGAATTTTCTGCAGTTGTTTGTGGCATACGTAATTGTCAGGCGGAATGCCCGATTTATTTGTGGAGACTGCAAATGAAAACTGCACAAACACCATCCCATGGCTTTTTCATTGATAAATGCAGTCAGTCTGATCAAACAATATATTGTTTGCAGTTCCCTTCCAAATCCCTTATGAAATCTTGTTTGCACTCAAACTGCAGGCATGTACTCGTGAAACGTCGTGCATTGCTTCTACTTGAGATGCCATGTTAACAATTGTGGGTGTCGCACTTGGGGTGGAAAAATTTGGAGATTCGAGAGCCACAAATCATAAGCTTAATAAGGAAACCTTCCCAAATACTTTTAGTTTTCATTCCTCGACTCTTCGGATTGTGAGCAATGTTACAGGAGTATGGTATACATTTCATGTACGCTCTTTACATCTTTGCTCTATTTTATGCATCATAAGCTTTTGTTGTCTGCCGTTTCCAAATAATTTTTATTTCGTGATGAGGTAAGTTTTAAATAATGTGAAAACAACAGATACACAAGATGTAATATTAAAACATACGCAGCTGCAACTGTTCTGTCTCCCTGCCCAGCGCAAGGAAGTCTGGCGGTTTGCCTCCTTTTGAGTGGTCTTTTTCAGTAGCATTCCAGAAACATCTGAACGTGTACAGGAAAATCTGTATTTCGTAACGAGGTCCCACAAATTCTGAGGCCTTAAAACTGATTGCTTCTCTGTGTGATCTCAATAAATTATGTTAATGACAATATTATATTGATAAAAATATAGTTTACATTTTCTGTATTAATATTTGTACTGTTATCTTGCATTTGTAATCAAAAGTATTAATATGTTTACTGAAAGTTGTTACTCCTGCAAGGTGTCTGCTTTTTTCTCTCAGTCGTTAACTGGCCATGTGCAGAGTTAATTTCATTTTTTAATGTCGAGTATATTTCGGTTGACGTGCAGTGATGGTGTTGTATGGTACCACACTTTAAATTTGTAAGTGCCTGAACCAAACTTTTTAAATTTAACCGCGCTGGAATGATACAAATTGCAGTCTGGTTTCTCGCGTGAAAAGAAATGTTCGTGTAAGACATAAATCGAATAATTATTTTAGAATTCTGTGAGTTTTCTGTCCGTTCTTGCCGTACTGTTGTAATAATCAAAATGAACGTACCCCAGACTGATCCGATTAGGTTGAATTTTGTAGTCCTGTGCAGTGTAATAAAATTCTGTAAAAGTATTGTGAAATGTTACTATTTACAAAACTTGTGCAGTGTAGTTTAACATTTTCTTGGTACAGAAATACAGAATTCCATAAATGATCTTTATGATTTTAAAATGTTATTACTCGGAGCATGTTTTAGGGAGTACCGTAATGTGTACAAATTTTGAAGATCGACTCGGGAAGTTTCCAATTTGGCAATTGGGTCGTATCCCACTGCAGATTCTGGCCACCAGGTAGAACTTTCTTCGCCACTGTCACAAAATTGAATTTGGGCGTGAAAAGGTACATCATGTGCATTTGCTGTCAGTGTAAGTATGTGATAGAACCACCAAATGACCCGTTGATTTTGATTCCTCCGATAGGAACTGTCATTGCAATGTTAACGACAGATTTTGCTAAATGAAAGCTAGGCCCAAAATTAATTTTCTGACTAACGTGCTGCAACTTGGCTGCGAAGTTCAAACTTTGTCACTTGATCTCCACGCAGCTGGTACTTAGTACGACTCTACCTTAAACATGCTCCAAGTAATGAAATATTAAAATCGTAGAAGTCGTGTACGTCTGTTTTAATCTGTGGAACAAAACTTCCTTTTTCCCACCTGCAAGTGAAGTGTACGCTGGTAATAGATTTTCATAATTAATTAGACAGCTGTTTATATTATGCATGAAGTTCAATATCACTTTTTTTTTAAAAAAAAAATTTATAATAGTGAACAGAATGAAATTTGTTCTTGCATGCATAGTCTAGGATACAGACATTTTTGAAACGAGCATTGAATAGATCAGTCTTTGAAATGTGTACAACGCCTAGGAATTTCATAACGCACTTACATAATGAAAGTACAATCATCAAAATAAATTCTTTAGTGGGATTTGAGATTGTCGCAGCACTGAATATGAAGATGGCTGTCACGTAGTCTGGCAGAAGTTTACCAACGTTTCACAGGTCCTTGCTGCCACCATCATCAGGGTGACAAGTTTTCCTTGATTATGCGTACTTTATACTTTGCTAATATTGTTTTACCATGCCATATCAACTACTGATGTTATGTTCGTCGGACTGAAACATGCTAGGTTAGGTTTTGTATTATTAACTAGGAGAAAATAGTTTTGTTCTCAGTTCTAGCCCTCTCTTGCAGGAACTAAGGTGAAATTCCGGAATGGCTGATCCATTTTTGAAATCTCGGTCGTATGGCATGGTTCTGTGGATATCCATGTTTGGATTTTTTTAACTCTACGTTATAATTCAAATCCTTTTTTCTCTCTTTACCTTCTGCTTTGGTGTGTTCAACACAGAAGTTTCTCTTCTCATGCCTGATAAACTTTATACGTCATTCTGCGTTGCCATGGGATACTCTAACGTCACAAATGTCTTCCGGTTGCAAATCCTGTATTACGAGTGCGAAATGTTTCGTCATCCTTTGTCTGGTAAAGGCACACCGCCACGTCTTTGTAGACAGGTAAAACTTCCTATGTGTATATTTGTGTCTTCGCGGAACAAACACGAACTACACACGCAAGACTCCTTCTTGAAAAAACCAGTAAGCAAATTCTCCTCCTTTCATAGGAATCGAAGGTTTCACAATATCCCCAGCCAGATAAATCCAATCTATACGCTTCATCCCTGTCTCTCGAAGACCCATTTTAATATTATTCTTTCATCCATGCCAGGTCGTCCAAGTTGTCTCTTACCTCTAGGCTTTCCAATCAAGATATTTTAATTTCTTCTCCCATGCGCGCTACATGACCTGCCCTTCTTACCCTCCTTAATTTGATCATCGTAATAACATTTTGTGAAGCGAACAAATTATAGAACTCCCCATTTTGTAATTATTTCCCAACTTCGTGTCAGTTTGTCTTGGGTCCAAATATTCTCTTAGTTCTCAGAACGCCCTCAATCACTGTTTTTCCATTAAATGTAAGAGACTATGTTTCACACCCATACAAATCAACAGCTAAAATTATACTGTCGTTCCGTTTTTGGACGGCAGATGGGAGAACGAACGACACTGAACTCGTACACCGTCACATAGGCAGGCACACGGTCGGAACGTGTTTTTTTAATAAGGCAGTGCCCACTGAAACGCAACACAAATGCCATCTGTAGGTCGCCTTAGTCAGATGTTGCAGCCATTTTATGTAACAAAGGCATGTGGTGTAGAAGTTGTCAACGTGATGGGTATTTCTAGGCAATATAATTGTTTTCGTGATCGTAAGTTTTATTTGTTAGTTGATAAATTAAGAATTATGTATTATATTATGTTACTTAAGTAAAGTTTAAATAATTTATCGCTCAACTAGTTGAAAAAAAACGCTGACTTCAGTACTTAATAGCTGAGTATCGAAACAAAACTGGCCAGATCTGTCAAATCGAGCCAACATCTTCATTACTACGTACACAATTCAGTGATGCCAAATCAATAAATTATCTTACATTAATAAGCACCTCTCCTAGCTATCATTTGTGTTTAAAAACTTCGACGAATTTCAAGGAAATGCTGATGTACACAGTTTAAACATGACCTTCATATGTCAAATCCTAACGTCACTAAATATCAGAAAGGAGCATACAGGCATCGTGTTATTCAATAATCTTCCACCTACAATTGAAGGTTTAAATCATATAAAAGTATCCAAACCTGCGTTAAAAGATTAGCTCATAACTCACCCCTACTCTATAGATGATTTTACCCAAGTTAACAATTCTTTAGTTATGACGTTATGACGTGATCTGTGGAATGTAAATAAATTGTAATTCTAACCTACAAAATCACGCCATTGGGTTAACTCTTATATAACCGCGTTTTCCTAATTTCTACATTGTCCATGCACTATGTGTGTAGTATTTAAAAATAAAACTTCTATTACTCCGAGACCAATCACGTGAAGGGTTGTACATGAAGCCCGTATCTTAAGACAGGGCTGTCCAACACCGCTTGAAGGGTGATCCACGAGTGTGGTGCAATTGGGGAACGATGATTATCGGGCCCGGGGGAGGTGGGGGGGACTACTTCGGTCCACCACAAATTTTATATAGAGTCTGAAGGCACTGGTATTTAGACCGAACCATAGATGTTTTTGATGAGATCGCAGATTCTCAGCGGTGATAATGAAGATGTTAACTTTCTCTGTCTGTGTCTTCTGCATTGTCAGTTTGTTGTTAGAACAGAACAAAAATTTATACTGATCAAATTTGATGTGTATAGTGAGGCACATTGACGTGGACCTAAGTCACTTTAAAATATCTTTAACTCCCACCATTTTAACACTTAAACATCATTAATAGGCTTTGAAATTCTTTTGTAATTTGTGACTTAAGTATTTTGCTCAGAGAACAGAGACTCGCTCTGTGTTCGTATCCAGCACGAAGACTTTAATTAATCACAGGCACAACTTTATCTTCTTACTCAGTAGTGGATTTTCTGTTTAATGACACTCCTTCAACTGCAGAGGTCAGGTTACTTGATGCGATCGAAAGATAAATGAGGAACGTTGCTGGAGGAAGTGGTAGTGGCCGATCTAATGGTATTATGTTGCTATGGCTGGGGGATACCACGAAATAGCTGCTCTCAATCAGAAGTTATTATTGATTTAAAGACTTTTTAACAACTGCATAGGTTATGTAGGTCGAATCTAATGATGATTTGGAAGGAAACGCTGAGTAGAACCACGTAAGACAGCTAAGTACGCCCCGCGTGTCGACGGGCTGGCGTCGAATCCGGTACGTCGTAACTGTTGTGCCCTGTTTGCAGGTCCCATGACAGACCCCGAGGGGGAAGACCGAGCCTTCAGACTTCCGGTCCCTTGGTCCAGAGGCCGATTTTCTCCAATGGAAAGGTAAGACAGAGAAATTCCTCTGGTCGATTTCAACTTCTCGAGCGTCTCTCCGTTTTCGTGCGCCAGAAAACAATTTGTTTCCTCTCTTGGTCATAACTGAATAATGCAAATCTACCGGGACCCAACCTTTCAGCTTCTTAACAGTTCATTATTTCTGTAAGAGCGTTCGAAGGCCTCGTACAGGAAAGGCCCGTGTTTCCGTTGTTCTGTGATTTGCTTAACGAGAAGTCAATGATGATTTGTTATTTCCGAGGTCATTTCATGATATTATTATGCAGCGTCTGTGTGTGAATATAAAAAAAATAAATCTGTCTCACTATGCACCATGTAGGCGCTTGGGGGAGGAGGAGAGAGGAGGTATAGCTCCTCTCTTCCTTGACCTCGGCACTAGATGGGAGGTGAGTGGTCAGCGTCACGCCCCGGCCGGCTTTACCCCCGGGAAATGACCTCGGTACCCATTGTAGAGGAGGCTGGGTGGGCCCCAGAGGCTAAGGGAAA